GCTGGGAGACAGATTCTTGGGACAAAGTTGATAACCTAAAAAGGGCTGGGCTGGTAGCTGAAAGACAAATTCTTGGGGAAAGTATGAGATGTTAATCTTAATGTCTTGTGACCAAGTAGAATGAAGCCCATCTGGGGGCTGGAAAACTGATTGTTCTTCTAGTTAACGATTATCATTGTGAATAGGGTTATGACCTAATTACATGACTGGTTCTGCTTGGGGTGACTAGAGAAACCCATTTTGGGCTCTGTCCTTTCAGGGGGAAAAGAGTTTTTTTGTTTGTTTTTGTAGAGACAAGGTCTCCATATGTTGCCCAAGCTGGTCTCACACTCCTGGCCTCAAGTGATCCTCCCACCTTGGCCTCCTAAAGTGCTGGGCTGACAAGTGTGAGCCACCACACGGCCTGAAAAATAGCCTCTTTACATGTACACCCAAAATATGTAAAACTATGATATATCAAATTTTTAAAATGCAAGAGTGGATAAAAATAAACTGAGAAACAAGAAGATCTGGAGAGGTCTCTATTTGCTAGCTCTTCTGCTTCCTCAGGTTCTCAGTTTCCCTAAAGCTGTGATTCTCAAGCATAGCAAAATCACCTGGAAAACTGGGTAAAGCAAAGATTTTGGGGTCTCACATCCAGAGAGTTCAATTCAACAGGAGAGTTATGTTTTGTACAACCTCCCCTTCCCTCCCAGGATATTCTGCTGCCAGTAGCCTAAGCCTCACCAGTCCTCTTTCCCCATAGTCCATATGCTGAGGACCTGACCCATTTTCTCTTTCCAGGTGAAAGTCGTTACTCCCTGACGTCAATTTTCTTCTGGATGTTCTCTTCTGGGTCTTTGCAGCCCTGACTTCTTCCTCCTGGCCAGCTACTACTGGGCAGATCCACTTAGACACCCTAAAAGCCTTCTAACCCAGCACTTCCAAAATGGAGCTGACCTCATTCCCTAAGTCAGACCACTCTTTTCAGAGGGATCTTATCCCATCAGCTCCTTATTCTGTCTGCCTCGAGGCTGTCAGCATGAAGTGCATGATGGGTGATGGACTATGCCTCCTAACCCTAACCCCATCCACTTACACAATTGATGCTGTCCCACTCCCTGACCCCGGTGCCTGCTGTTTCCTTATTCTGAAATCCTGCCCCATACTTGCTGACCCAACTCGTCCTTCAGGGCTCAGCAGACAGTTGAGGGGGTGGGTGGGGGCGGGGAAGAGCAGGGGACCAATGGCGTCCCTTAATTCCACTCCAGGACTCTCGCTTACCTCTTGCCTAGCTCACAGAGGTACAACTTGTGAGGTTGAACCCAAGATCCCCTTATGCATTTGACAAATGAATATTGACCACATATGTTGTGCCCACACATGGTTCTAGGCACTGGAAAGAAAGCAGTAAACAGAGTAGGGAAGATCCCTGTCCTTGTGGAACTTATATTCTAACAGGGCAAGGCAGGCAATACACAAATAAGTGGAATAGATGGTGCATTTCATGGGGTAAGTGCTATGGAGAACAATTAAAAAGAGGGATATCAGGAAGGCTGGGTGGAGTGTGCTGCAGGTTTAAAGAAGAAAATATTTGGGGACCTGGGACTTGGTGAAGAGTTTATGACACCAAAGGCATGATCTATAAAAGAAACAATCACTAAATTGGACTTTATTAAAATTAAAAACAGCCGGGCTCGGTGGCTCAGCCTGTAATCCCAGCACTTTGGGAGGCCAAGGTGAGTGGATTGCCTGAGCCAGCGGGTTCGAGACCCGCCTGGGCAACTTGATGAGACCTCATCTCTACAACAAATCAAAAAATCATCCAGGCGTGGTAGCGCGCGCCTGTAGTTCCAGCTACTTGGAAGGCTGAGGCGGAAGGATCGCCGGAGCCCAGCAGGTCGAGGCTGCGGTGGCCGGAAGCGGCCACTGCACTCCAGTCTGGGCGACAGAGTGAGACTCCGACTCAAAAAATAAATAAATAAATAAATAAATAAAAACATTTGCTCCATGAAAGAGCCTGTTAAGAGGATGAAAAGACAAACTGCAGACTGGGATAAAATATTTGTAGACCACAGATCTGATAAAGAGCTAGTCTAGATTATGTAATGTAAAACTCAATATTAAACGCAAACAAACTGGGCGCGGTGGCTTATGCCTGTCATTACAGCACTTTGGGAGGCTGAGGCGGGAAGATTGCTTTAGCCCAGGAGTTCAAAACCAGCCTGAGCAATATAATGAGACCTTGTCTCTACAAGAAATTTTTAAAAATTAGGCACGGTAGTGTGTGCCTGTAGTGCAGCTACTCAGGAGGCTGAGGCAAAAGGATCACTTGAACCCAGGAGGTGAAGGCTGTGGTGAGCTGTGATCATGCCACTGCACTCCAGCCTAGGTAACAAAGTGAGACCTGATTCAAAAAAAAAAAAGAAAAAAAGAAAAGGAAAAGATAATAAGCAATCCAATTAGGAGATGGGCAAAATATATGAAAAGATATTTCACTGATGAGGATATATGGATTGCAAATAAGCACATGAAAAGATGTTTAATATCAACAGCCATTAAAGAAATGCAAATTAAGACCATGATGAGATATTACTATGCTCCAATGAGAAGATCTAAAATCAAAATTAGGGACAATGCAAAATGCTGGCAAAGATGTAGAAAAACTAGATTTGCCATACACTACTGGTGGGAATATGAAATGATAAAGCAGCCGCTCTGGAAAATTGTTTGGCAGTTTCTTCCAAAACTAAATAGACATTTACCAATGCACAGCTGCATTCCTGAGCATTCAACTCAGTGAAGTGAAGACTTACATCTGCACAAAAGCCTGTACACAATTGTTCCTAGCAGCCTTATTTGTAATAGCCCCAAACTGGAAACAACAAAAATGTCTCTCAATGGGTGAATGTTTAAACAAATGCTGCCACATCCATGCCATGGAATGCCACTAGTAACAAAAAGGAAGGGATACTGATACACAGTAACTTGGATGGATCTCAAGGGCATTATACTGAGTGAAAAAAAGCCAATCTCAAAAGGTCACATAAAGTAGCAGTTCATGTATATAACATCCTCAAATTAAAAAAAAAAAAAGTGATGGAAAACACATCAGTGGGTGCCAGGGGTTTGGGCTGGGGGAGCAGGTGGGAGTGACCCTAAAGGGGTCCCCTGAGGGAGATCTTTGGGGCGATGGGACAGTTCTGGTAGGATAATCTGTTGATTGCAGTGGTGGTTATATAGACCCGTACATGTGATAAAATGGCAGAGAACTACGCACACACTTTATACCAAAACCAGTGTCCTAGTTTTGATACTGTACTACAATTATGTAAGATGTAACCGTTGAGGGGAACTGGGTGCAGAGCACAGGAGACCTCTGAACTACTTTTGCAACTTCCTATGAATTGATAATTATTTCAAAATAAAAAGCTTTTTAAAAACGTGTTGTGTGACACTGGGAGAAAAATAAAATAAATGGATGGATAAGGAACTCTGGGACAAGGATGGTTAGGAAAGGCCTCGCTGAGAGGGTGGCATTTAAGCAGTGTTAAAGGAGGTCAGAGAGCGAGTTGTGAGTCTCTGGGGGAGGAGTGTTTGAAGCAGAGGAACAGCCTATGCAAATACTCTTAAGGCAGGTGTGTACCTGGCGTGTTCAAGGAATACCCAAGAGGTTGTTGGGATGGGAACCTTGGTAGCAAAGGAGAGGAGATGGGGTCCAAGAAATAACGGGTACCGGGGCACCTCATATTGGAGGTTGTGCCACTGTAAGGACTCTAGCTTTTTTTTCTGAGTTGGAGTCTCACTGTCGCCCAGACTGGAGTGCAATGGCCGCTCCCGGCCACGGCAGCCTCTACCTGCTGGGCTCTGGCGATCCTTCCGCCTCAGCCTTCCAAGTAGCTGAAACTACAGGTGCGTGCTACCACACCCGGCTAGTTTTTTTATTGTAGAGATGAGGTCTCACCAAGTTGCCCAGCTGGGTCTCGAACCCACAGGCTCAGGCAATTCACTCACCTCAGCCTCCCAAGGTGCGGGATTACAGGTTGAGCCACCAAGCCCAGCAGGACTCTAGCTTTTACCCTGAATGAAATGGGGGCTCTTGAGCAGAGGAGTGACATGTCTAACATTCTGAAAAGTGTTGCAGAGGGGCGAGGATGGAAGCAGGGTGAGGAGGCTCTTGTAGATCTCCAGGTGAGAGATGGCAGTGGCTTGGAAGAGGGTGGGAGAAGTGGGGGTGATGAGAAGGGACTTGAGTTTTGATAGATTTTTTTTTTTTAGTTGGAGTCTCACTCTGTCACCCACGCTGGAGTGCAGTGGCATGCTCACAGCCACCGCAGCCTCGAACTGCTGGCTCAGGCGATCCTTCCACCTCGGCCTTCCAAGTAGCTGGAACTACAGGCGCAGATGCATAGACAGTCAGGGAGAGAAGTGGAATTGGCAGCTGAATATGAATCTGGAGTTCAGGGGAGAGGTTTGAGCTGGAGACATAAACTGGAAAGTCACCAGTGTGTGTCTAGTCATTTTTTTTTTTTTTTGAGTTGGAGTCTCACTCTGTCGCCCACACTGAAGTGCAG